CTATAAGAGCGCATTGTCTTACAACCCAGACAAGAGTTTGTCTTGTCTGGATTTTTAAACATTTATAATGGTGCTGTTTTATATATATATATATATATATATATATATATATATATATATATATATATATATATATATATATATAAAACAGCACCATTATAAATGTTTAAAAATCCAGACAAGACAGTCGACAAAAAGTCGACAAAACTTTAAGTTTTAGATTTATAATTCTGGCACGAATCTTCTCGATATTTCTTATGTTTTTCTTCACTGAAGCAGGAAGACTAAAAATTAACTCTCCAAAGTTCATTTTTACTTATTATTTGGGTCTGACGCCTAGTGATGCGTTTCGTAAGATCTCGCCTCACATTCTCAAAGACACATTCTTCTGTTTAAGCTCTTGATTATATCCTCTAATGGTGAGGCGATAGGTAACATGGGTGAATGACATACATGGAATATTAATGGGGTCATATATATAATGGGGTAGTAAATTAAGAATGTGATATGTTGGCAGTTTATGTTCTACTGGCTGCTTCCGTTCCTGTTGCAGGGTCATTCAGTCCTGCTTCTGCATTGGCCCGTGGTCTTGAAGTGGGTAGAGTGAAACTGTGATATGTCTGGCTGGTTACCAGACAGTTCCCAGTTAACCAGCTAACACAGTTTCACTCTACCCACTTCAAGACCCCGAACCAATGCAGAAGCAGGGCCGAATGACCCTGCAACAGGAACGGAAGAAACGGGTGGAACATACACTTCTGAAGATGTATTCTTCAGAAGGATCAATAATACATCTTCATCCTTCTGAAGATGTATTATTAAACACGAAAGTACTTAAGGAAATTCCTGTTTCAATTCTTCCTTCGTGGTCTGACACTGTCACATTTTTTATCGCGTGTTAATGTTCGTGATTTACACACACACACACATATATATATATATATATATATATATATATGTATTATGTAAGTGCAGAGAACTGGATCACCACCACAATTTTGTTCCCATTCCTTCTGAAACACTTGGCGCCTGGGGTAAGAGCGCCACCAGTTTTTGGAAGGAACTGGGTTCTAAGCTAATTGAAACAACAAGGGACCCTAAAGCTGTCCGCTTCCTTTTCCAGCGCCTCAGCGTGCAGATACAGAGGGGAAATGCACACTGTATTCAGGGTTCCTGCCCGCCATCTGAGGAGCTGGAGGAACTCCACAACTTATGATAATCATCTTTGTACCTTATATATAACTCCTTTTTGTAATATAAGGAGGTGGTAGGAGAAGAAAATATGTGCCAGCGCATGTGGGAGCCCAACATGGCTCCCCCGGGTGCTACATATACATATCATCTTCTTTTATGTGGATAGATATATATGCGAAGAAGCTTGAATGGTCCCCAAGCAAATATGCACCCGAAAACACCACACCCTAGAAGGATTCGAACCCAGACAGCCAGGGCTCCATGAACCTCAGCGTATAAAGTACTATAACTAGACCATACTGACTGTACAGAAAATGCTGGAAATCGTGAGACTTTTAACCCAATCTCCCGATAGAATTCGACGGTCAATTTTAGGGTACAGTTATTTCATATACATATATTGTGATATCAACGCTTTCTATGGAGTGAGGTGTGGTAACATCGACGCCATCTATGGACCTGCACTCCAACTCCAAGACATTAAGTGGGACAAAGACAACGCCATCTGTTGGCGGAGGTGTGGCAAGTTCAGCGCCATCTGTGAAAGGTTCCTGTTCGTACCTCAGTTAGGAGGTGAGGTCAACGATGAAGACCTCTGGTGAGTGAAGTAACGATATCAACGCCATCTAGATTGTGCATCCGATAACATTTTCAGTTCCCGGTAAAAGGCTGCCATCCTGTGTTCTCCTCGTATACTTTCTGTCTGGCTGATGACTATCATGTCCACAGAGGTGACGTGGATAGTCTATTGCACTGTAGACGGTAGTTCACCTTGGGCAGTTTCAGCCAACTACTGACTTAATTGTCCATCTGAGAACACGTGGCAGCCGTCGGTAGTACACGGGGGCCAGATTCACGAAGCAGTTACGCAAGCACTTGCGAACCTATACATCTTTTTCAATCTTAGGCGGCTTTGTTTACAATTATTAAACAGTTAATGATCTCCGAAGCACCAGGAGGCTGTTTATAACAATAACAACAGTTGATTGGCAAGTTTTCATGCTTATAAACTGTTTAATTAATGTGCCCAAAGCCGTCAAAGATTGAAGAAAGCTGTATACGTTCGTAAGTACTTGCGTAACTGCTTCGTGAATCTGGCCCCAGGGGCTGTTGTACTTGTGCAGTGATATTGTGTGGACCGACCTACCCGGGATTGACCAAGAGGCGTCATAAGGCGACAGCACTGGTCGTCAGCGGAGAAGTTATGCTAGTGTGTAGTCAGCCAGGGTGTTAGTGGAGACCCCTGGAGGTATTATTTGTGACCTCTGTCAGTGTGTTTCTGGAGAGCCACTGAAAGAGATTGATTGATGAAGATTAAGCCACCCAAAAGGTGGCACGGGCATGAATACCCCGTAAGTGGTGGCCCTTTTGAGCCATTACCAGTATCAAGAGCTGATACTGGAGATCTGTGGAGGTGCGACTGCACCCTGCGTGACGGGAGATGTCTCCCGTGGACAGAGAGAGATGTGGAGGGGGGTAGAAATAGCCTTAGCTACTCTATTCCTTTGAGATGTATTTCTTTCTTGTCTCAATAAACATAACTTTGAATTTTGACATCGTAACGATACGGTGTGGGACTGGCCCTTGTTATTTATTTATATATATACAAGAAGGTACATTGGGTTTGTGAGGGTACATAGCATTATGTGTTTACAATCTTGTAAAGCCACTAGTACGCACAGCGTTTCGGGCAGGTCCTTAATCTAACAGATAATACTAAATAGTTAAATTCTAGCAAAATTTATAAAATGTTAACAGGTACATTGTAAGAAAAATTTGAGATTAGTAGGTATATTAAAGCATATTGAGAGCTTTAATTGATACCTTGATTGATAATTTGACAAAGATTAGTAAGCACATTTTTTTAAGGGTTCAATGTTTCTTTCACTAACAAGCTTACGCTCAAAAAATTTTGTTTGAATTAGTCATTTGACTGATTCCAATTTCTTACGCAAGCAAACAATGCTTTAGAGTTGTGACCTGTCCTTGTACTATATGTTCGCTATTCATTGGTCAAGATATCTATAAGTTTGCTCAACATATAAAACCTATTACAACCTTCGCATGGAATTTTACACACACAACCATTGCAACTTCTTGGAGAAGTTTTAATAATTTTTTTTCATATCGACATTTCTTAAATGCTACATTGATATTATATTGTTTTAATAATTTAGGGATTTAATTGAAGTAATCGTGAAATAGCTGAATGAGTGTATTCTTTATAGTGTGTTATGTTTTCAATCTAAGGGTATTATTTACCTGAGGGCCACTAACTCAAGTGGCATCAATGAGGAAAGGAAGCCAACGGCTTGTCAGAAGTCCCCCACATTTGTCTTGATTAGTTTTTACGAGCAATTTGATCAACTTTATCAATAAAAGACTTGGGATATCTTAAATTGAAGCGGAAACTATACATGACACTAATTTCATCATCTATAAACTCGGGACTACATATCTATAGAGGCATCGAAAATATCAAAGAAAATACAGTTTGTGTTAATCTTTGATGAGGTGAGTCCGCTACCGCTCACAGGATGGGTGTGGGGTTCGCTACCACTCACAGGAAGGGTATGGGGGTCCACTACGGCTCACAGGAAGGGTATGGGGTCCACTACCACTCACAGGATGGGTGTTGGGTGCGCTACCACTCACAAGATGGGTGTGGCGTCCGCTACCGCTCACAGGATGGGTGTGGGGTCCACTACCGCTCACAGGAAGGGTATGGGGTCCACTACAACTCACAGGAAGGGTATGGGGGTCCACTACGGCTCACAGGAAGGGTATGGGGTCCACTACGGCTCACAGGAAGGGTATGGGGGTCCACTACGGCTCACAGGAAGGGTATGGGGTCCACTACCGCTCACAGGAAGGGTATGGGGGTCCACTACCGCTCACAGGAAGGGTATGGGGTCCACTACCGCTCACAAGATGGGTGTGGGGTCCACTACGGCTCACAGGAAGGGTATGGGGTCCACTACGGCTCACAGGAAGGGTATGGGGGTCCACTACCGCTCACAGGAAGGGTATGGGGGTCCACTACTGCTCACAGGAAGGGTATGGGGGTCCACTACCGCTCACAGGAAGGGTATGGGGGTCCACTACGGCTCACAAGGAAGGGTATGGGGGCCCACTACCGCTCACAAGGAAGGGTATGGGGGCCCACTACCGCTCACAGGAAGGGTATGGGGTTCACTACCGCTCACAGGAAGGGTATGGGGGCCCACTACCGCTCACAGGAAGGGTATGGGGGCCCACTACCGCTCACAGGAAGGGTATGGGGTACGTAATTAACCAAGCTAATCCGAGTGAGAATATGAATGCGCTTGTCTAATATGAAGTGTTATTACTGTATCCAGAAAGCTCAAATATCAATAATAAACTCGTAATCATATCTTAAAAATCACCAAACAAATAAGAAAGTATTTGTTCATGGCCAATCGCGGTTACGAATCCAGTTGTTCAACGTAAACATATGAGTTTCCGGGAGAAGAAACATCCCGTTTTCTTCGACATTGTCTAAAGAATGTTTTGGTCAAACGCCTCAGGCCGATGGTGTTCGAGCTGCGAAGGAACATCTCTACTGTTTCTAAGATTTACTCGAAAGCGTCAAGAAATCGTTCAGATGTTGAATGCGTATGTATTTAGTGTTTAGAAAGTATTGCCTAAGTGTAATATAGAAACGTTTATTGGAATATAAGAGAAAATATGAGAGTGAGAGAGAAGCGTTTAGGTTCCCATCCCTGCGCAGCTCGGCCCCCTGGCGGACAGGTGCGGCCATGGTTCAGGGCTCGTCAGTTCCCTGTGAGAGGTTGTGCGGTGCGGGTGGGGACGCTCCTTTGTGGTTTGCCTCTTAAGTGTAACTTTTTTAATCCTCCCTCGAAAATGCCTTGTTCGGCGATTACGCTATCCTTAGCGACGATCTGTGCTGTGGTGTCGGTAGCTCTGCTGGCTATCGCCTTCGGCACAGATAACTGGCAGTACATCAAAGTGAACCGCATTGATATCGAGGTAATATGTCTTGGCTTCAGCTCTCGGCCAATCTTGAACTCGTCTTCAAGACGTTTGGGAATTATTTGTCTAATTATGTGTGTGTTTTAGGATGTCTCTAGAGTATATATTTGTTATGGGGACATAGGGTAACTAGTTTATTACTCATGTTTTCCTACTAAGATATATCTCCAGGGTGTATTGAGTGATGTTGAAATAGTCTACTGTCTTCTCCCCCCTGGGGCCCACCTGGAGGTCTTTTTCCCCCCTGGGGCCCACCTGGAGGTCTTTTTCCCCCCTGGGGCCCACCTGGTGGTCTTTTTTTCCCCTGGGGCCCACCTGGTGGTCTTTTTTCCCCCTGGGGCCCACCTGGTGGTCTTTTTCCCCCTGGTGGCCTTTTTCCCCTGGGGGCCACCTGGAGGTCTTCTCCCCTCCCCTGGGGGCCCACCTGGAGGTCTTCTCCCCTCCCCTGGGGCCCACCTGGTGGTCTTCTCTCCCCTGGGGCCCACCTGGTGGTCTTCTCTCCCCTGGGGCCCACCTGGTGGTCTTCTCCCCTCCCCTGGGACCCACCTGGTGGTCTTTTTCCCCTGGGAGCTCACCTGGTGGTCTTCTCTCCCCTGGGGCCCACCTGGTGGTCTTCTCCTCTCCCCTGGGGCCCACCTGGTGGTCTTCTCCTCTCCCCTGGGACCCACCTCGTGGTCTTCTCTCCCCTGGGGCCCACCTGGTGGTCTTCTCTCCCCTGGGGGTCCACCTGGTGGTCTCCTCTCCCCTGGGGGCCCACCTGGTGGTCTCCTCTCCCCTGGGGCCCACCTGGTGGTCTCCTCTCCCCTGGGGGCCCACCTGGTGGTCTCCTCTCCCCTGGGGGCCCACCTGGTGGTCTCCTCTCCCCTGGGGGCCCACCTGGTGGTCTCCTCTCCCCTGGGGGCCCACCTGGTGGTCTCCTCTCCCCTGGGAGCCCACCTGGTGATCGTCTCTCCCCTTGGGGACCACCTGGGGCCCACCTGGTTGAGTCTGGGTTTACTTTCAACCAAAATGATAATTTATCAATGAAGCATGAATATACCATAATTGTTAAATATTAATATACTATAATTGTTGCAAGTTAATTACAGAAAATACTGTCCACGCTACATTATTTTGTCAGGAAACCCTCTTTAATAAAACTAAAGTTGTCTAGTATTAAAAGAAATGTGATATCCGGCTTGATATTCCTAGTGTTGCGACCTTAACATTAGACGTGAGAAAGTTGTCCAGTTGCATTTTTAATCAATAAACCTCAACACTTAATGACACGGGGATCGTCCACGACGGGAAATGTATATTACTCCTACTTCCTGCTCCGCATTGACATTAACTTGGCCATTCTATCACAAGCTGAACTCCAGAAAAAAAAACAGTGGGATAGACTAATCCCCACTGCGGTATGGAGTGCACAAGCGAGAACACAAAATATATTTCCATGGTGATGTTGCAGAAGTTGCCAGTGGCACTGGTTTATAGGTAAACTGAGAAACGGAAAAAAAGACATCTGGGTCTGGGTCATAATATGAAGGTTGTGGAGGCAGGTGACGGCGGGGCGGCCGCCACTACCACAAGCCTCGCCAACCAACACAGTAATTTCACCGAGGGTCCAGGAAGTGATCCCATCTTGCATTGTTCTTAGTGGAGTGAGTTGCTGGGATTCTGTTATTTACCTATTTACTGTTGTTAAATGCTTGGGTAAATACATCCGTGAAGGCTCATCTAAAGGCTTGTGCTGTTAGAGAGAAAGGAAATAATCGTATGATGGTGAGTGTTTAACAATTGGTAAAGGTTTGCTGTAATCTTGGCCATTTCAGAGAAATCGTTGTTGCTGAAACAGACTTTTTGCCTTTATCGTGTGACATTAAATATGGCTTGACGCCTTAATCCCTACTAAATCTATCTTGCAAACGAGAACTTGTCTGCCTAGCCTAATGGGGAACGTAATCAGTATTGGGATATAATTTCATACAGATAAAAAGTATAGTATATAACTTGCAGCATAACGTTGACAAATTGCTGGGCATAGGATTCGAAAGGCAAAACTAATTATCAAATTAGTTTTTTATCAAAACAATAATCACTAATGATGGAACGAGCGTCTGGCTAGCTTTTACTAATGTCTTGCTGTTTTTTTTTTACTTAAACTTATTTTCAAAAGAAACTACCTAGGCCCCATTCTTCCAGTCTCAATACATTAAATATTTTCTTCATAGGCGAGATTCAACCCGTCCTTCTGTTTTGATAGTACTTTGTATAGCCAAATGGACCATCGTACATATATTGACGCAATGGACACTTAGATAGTAGAATTTAGTACTATTTACTTTATAGTTCGGGGAAAAAAAAGCTAAAACCACGTTAGGGAAATCTGACAATTGTCAGCAGGATACAAACTGAGATATGTAGTAAAAAACAAACTTAAATATTCCTAGGTCTAGTATAGCGCACATATGTGCTATATTAGGCCGCAAATAGCATTAGGCCTAGGGTGGTTAGATTTTATTAGTAACATAAATCATATCCCTTTTCAGTTTGTCAAAAATCACTAGTACCAAATTCTACTTTCTAATCGTCCATTACGTCAATAAATGTACGAAAGTCCACATCGTTACTATAAGTACCATCTAAGTACAACAGGAAGATGAGCTGCAATAATCACAAGCACTAGTGGTATAAAATTAAGATTTTAATAATTATTGACGTTAAGAATTGGTACGTTAAAAAAACAGACATGATTGCCAGCTTTGGGAGCGGAAAGACCCCGAGGGGCAGGCGACTGAGAGCTAGTAGTACTGGTCAAACTTGACCTGACCGCTGTAGTCAGCACGCTGCTCAGACTGTAGGAGCGTGGCCAAGGTTCAGGAGGATCGAATGTATACCTAAATATGTTTAAAAATACATTGTTTGAGAGGAGTTTTGTAGAAATTGGTAAGAGTAATTATAATATAATGTTTCCATGATTCAGTGCTTACCTCTTGTGAAAATTGCTTAGAGTTGTTTAGTCAGAGTTGATTTGTTTTTTGTATTGAGGCTGGTATTTTCTAAATTGATTCCATGTACAGTATGTCTAACCATCCTGTGAGATGGGAGTATTAGATAAACTTATAGCTAGTTTTTTATCTACACTGTGTAATATTCCATATAGAATAGGGTAGCAGCACATTGCTGTGTATACCTAATCTTCTTAATAAAAAAAATCAGTAATAAAGATTTTAAATTATAGTTTGTATTATTACAAATACAGTACTGTATTATCCTTATTAAATCATGTTGACCATGGATCATTAAGATCTCATGTTGATATGTAATACAAGTCATATTTCTTTTGAACTGCTAATCCATGCTAATCATTCATTAAATTGTGTATTATGTCTCAATTTTTCACTTCCTTGGATATACTGTACAGTACAAAAAGATAGGATAAAAATAAACCAGTAATATTTCTTTCATTATATTTTTCATTTAAATAACTGCATCAATATTTTTACAGCTGACAGGATTTGTTTTACCATACAGGTGCATTATTTGTTAAAAAAATTTGGTTTATTGTTACACACAATGGTGCTACATAGCCTTCCCAGCTTGGTGCCTTCTTTTAATACTTACTGATTAAAAAATAAATAATAAATACATTTTATTCAGGAAAAGTACATACAGTTGATTTACAAACATAATGTTGGATTTATAGACAGAGCTAGTACATACAATACCTAAAGCCACTAATACTCATAGCATTTCGGGCAAGGTGTGGGGGAAAAAACACAGACTAAAACTTAGTAATCGGGATTAGGTATAAATTGTGTTGAAAGAAGGAATAAAAAATACAAAAAGGGGGGTTAGCATAGCATAACTCAGCAATTGCACATGTTGGTGAACAGCGTTGTTTAAAAAATAGCAAGACATGGGTTGACATTTAGGAGGTAAGTTAGGTTACATGGAGTTAATTAGGCAGTACTTGGTTTAACTCTTAAACTGGTTGAGAGAGGTACAGCCTTTGACATGATTCGGGAGGTCATTCCACATTCTGGGTCCCTTGATTTGTAGAGCACTTCTAGTTTGGTTACACACAGCCAAATTGAGTAACAGGAAGAGGTCTTGGACACAAATTTGTTCCATGCTAAATGTAGAGGAATCAGCTGAGTATTCCTCAAATAAAATAAGTTGCCTCAGCTTATAAGGTAAATAAAATAAGCATTTCTCAAATAAGTAGCTGCCTCACCTCACTGCCTTACTGCTACATAGCCTTCCCGGCATGGTGCCTTCTTTTGATAATTACTTGTTCCACACCCAAATTGTATAACAGGAAGAGGTTTTGGACCCCTACTTCCCTCTCTCTTTTTTAATAATCTACAGTATATAGTCATAATTATAGCTTTAAGTATTCAATGAATAAAGTTTGTGACATTTTTACCCTTCTCCTTACCTAACATCATTTGTGCAGCATATTTTTATTTTATGTCTCACCCAGATTTAATTTCAAAATAAAACCAAACTAAATAAATTAGAAATGGGTATGTATAGCTAAGGTACACCCTTACTACTAGGTGAACAGGGGCATTTGGTGATAGTAAATGATCCCATCAGGCAGGGCTCATCACCTTCTCTCATATTTCATGTTCACCAGTGTTTATTTACTTAATAACTACTGGTATAATATCTTGCTATTATAAAAGTAATTCTACTATCATCAAACACATATTTACTTCAAGTTTCAAGCAGAGAATGCATATATAACTAACACGAAGGATTCCTCTTCACTAGATTCACCAGCTATAATGTTTTGGTCATGTTCCAATATCATAAATCGATCCCAGTGTTATGTAGTAGAGAAAAAATGACTTATATCCAGTTTACGTAAAGCTACGAGTGGTCAACCTGTTCCGGCACTGAAATTATAACTTCAAGTACCTCGTGCACACTATATATATAAAGCATTCGATCTCAGAGTAGCGATGACGTAAAAGGGCCTTATACTGTTCTGTCTTAGAACCTACTCG